TTTTGATAAAACTCTTATTTAGTTTGATGTTTTCTGATTTATCTTATGCACATACCTATTTACTTTGAGAAAACTCATTTAATTGTGACATGGAATAAACATATGGTTTATTCATTAGAGCTAAGAGCTTATGATTATAGACTTAATATATTGTGATACATGGGAGATAATACTCATTATTAGAGGACCTATCACCATGGTTCATATATTTAGTTTCTTATTTTGATTGATAATTGAATAAATGGATCAAGTGGGAGAATGTTGGCATATTCACTCTATTTTTTAAAACGGTTTTTACAACAGTAGGATAAATGGAAGCAACGTGTTTCCGATTTCATGTATGCACTCCTGATTTTTCTCCTCTATTAAATAGTTAACATATTCTGAATATGGTCCATTATTGATGTTGATTCAACCCATGATCAAATAACTTGCGGATATGGTACCATGATTCCTACATATTTCTCCAACATTCAAAAGAGATTCTATGATGGATTAGAGTTCTATAAATTGGACGCATATCTCTGTTTTGAGTCACTGAGCCTACTCTCCTCTTTAGCATATAACACCATCGTGTATTGAGAGCAAAGGTTCGGAGGTTGGTTCTTTACCTTCCGCAATTTTTTTCAAATGATCTGAACGTGTTTGTTTCAATTGTTTGTCATATTTAGATCATTAGATGCTTATTTTACATGTGGACCCTAAAACTTGTGAAGATAAGAAAAATATGGATTGTGTTGATGATGATTTTCGGTCAATACGTACTAATTAAAAGACAAAGTTCTAAATAATTATTTTTGTAAATGAAAATTCAATAAATGCATATAATTGTTATTGTTATATTTAACAATGAATTGTGTTTTTTGTAGTATGCAAAGGAAAATCAAAAGAGTGTGGTTAAAGATGGTGACTTCACTTCCTGGTTGAAGTTTCTTTGAAAAAATAATGATGAAGATGTTCAAAAACTGGTAGCAGAGGCTTTGTTTGATAGACAAATGTTGGATGATTACTTTTACTAGAGATAAATCTTGTGTTGTTGCAACAATTTATAACAATAGTTACATAGCAATACCATAATATCTTATGTCGTGTTTCTTATATATAACAATTGACTAAGATAGGAATAGAAAAGAGACCAGTGACTTTACATATATATATATTAATGCTCACATATATAATGTAATATATTAAAAAAATTAATTTTTGATAAAATAAAAATTACAGTATGCATGTTTACCTTTCGTACTTTCTATTTATTGTATACGTTGATTAAAAAAAATCAAAATAGGAAAGTTTGGATGATTTATGTTCTATTTAGAATTTTTATTATAAAATATGTTTTAAAATAAATTATCATCTAAAAATTATATTACATATTAAAAACATGTTTATATCATAAATAATTTAAATAACTTGATTTTTATACAATTTAACATATTTATTTTTTTTATGTTTTTATTAGTGTTAAATTTTATAAATAGGTTTTTAGGATTGTAGTTCTAACCAAATATTTAAAAAATATCTATGATAGATAAATAAATCATATTTAGGACATATATTTTTTTAAAAAATATATTCAAATCTATTAAATTATCATACAACCTATTCTGACCTAATTTATTTTCATCATTAATCATAATTGTAGATATAAAAGCTTTTAAAAAATAATTATGATATATATGTATATATTTAAAATTTATATGTAAAATTTTTAATATTACAAATATATGAATAAATATTTCTCCCACTATCTAAATTTTCTAAATCTGTCACTGTTTGATAGTGTGATAAATAAAATCTTCAAATGATTATTGTTTGAGAAATTTGAGAATTTACACATTCTGACAATCTAGAAAAGGAAATAATAGGAACAAATTATTTAAGATTTTATTGACAATAGATAAAAGTCACCAAATAGGTGAAAATGAGACAATTGAAGAAAAAAAAATTTTGTGTTCTTTAAAATGGCTAATAAAATTGTCACTAGAAAAAATTAATCCTTTTAAACATTTTAGTAGGTCTTTACGAGTATTTTATAAAAATATTAGTGCAGTATTAGTTACTCAAAATACACAGTCATCATTTAATTATTGATTAAAAAAATAATGATCATTTATATAGTTTTTAAAAGAAAAAATAATGGCTACAAAAAGCTATTTTTAATGTAATGATATGATAGTTAAGGAGTAAATTTTTGGTTGATTTTCCTTCATTTTCAAAAATTAATAGTATTGTGTGCTAATTTTTGTTAATTAATAATGATTATATTTTAGATTTTTATTTTTACTACTTTGTAGGAGTGACTTTAATTAGGTTTCTACTTTTACTACTTTAATTTGTAAGAATGTCTCCATGACTTACTTTTTCCTTAGATTATGCTAGTAACTTGACTTGTTGTGTTGAAAATTAAGTAATATAAATTTGTGCAGGCTAGTTTTATACTTTGTATTTTATACATACATTGATTAGTTGATTTGTGTTACTATTTTTATTTAGAGAGAGAGAAAAGCTCATTATAAAATCTGATAATATATGTGATATAAACGAAATTTTATATGCTCAGGTATAAAAAATGATTAAAAAAATTATAAAACGGACATTAACGAGGGGTAGAAAGCCCTGGTAAGTCCTTGTGGGGTAAAAAAATCGTAGATGCCCTAGATGCTCTTTAAATTGATGGGGGTTAAAAAAAATCTAGGTTTTAATAATAGTTTTGTCTTTGAGGTGCTTCCAACGTAGTGAGGAGATTAATTATTATTGTTAGTCTCAAGATTTAACGCGACTACATGCACAAGGCAAGATTTGAACCCCTAATCTTGCTTAAGCCTGAATCAACCCCTACCGCTAAACTACACGCTTAGAGTTATTTTTGCCTCACTCTATATTCACAAAAATAAATAAATACATTATTTTTTATCCATAAAAAATAAATTAATATAAATACACTTTAAAAATTCTTGAATTACAAAATGGAAAGTAAAGCTCATATTTAGAAATTAATAGCTAGATTATATAGTTACAACATTAATTTAACCAAATTAAAAATAACAAAATGATAAAATTTATAGCAAAGTGGTTCTTATCACATTATTTAATGCGACGCATTCTCTTACCATATAAAATGCAGAATCTTCAGTGAAGGGTAACCCAGCTAAGGGGTTAATTACATATGCAAGCGTTTTTGGTCGCAATGTTATATCATCACAGACTGGGTAGTTTGAATTTTAGGAAAAACTTTTTGAAAACTCTTCATTTTCAGAAGTTTATATACAAACTTGGAAAAACTTTTAAGATCTTCGATTTTTGTAAAGGACTGTATTTTCTAATTTTTTTTTATGATTTTTATTCCGATCAAACGTAAATGATTATCTTGTATGAGAGTAGTTTTAGAAATTATTTTTTATTATGAGCTTTTTTAAGGATTTTATTAACTTTTTATTTAATCTATTTGTTATTTATCATATTTATTGATGAATTAAAATTTAATATTTTAAAGTAAATTATAAATAATTAAAAATAATTTTGTGTCAATATAAAAAAAAATATAATTTATATGTTTAAAAATATTTATTTATATAAAATTTAAATATAATATTTATTTTTTATATTATTTATTATAAAATTTAATTATATCTAATAAATATTTAGCATAAAATTACGGGGATAAAATACTAGTAGAGTGTGTATTATCATATTATATATTTATATATGTATGGTAAAAATATATAACATGGCAAATATTATAACAAAGTGGTTATTATCACATTACATATCATGTGACGCATTCTCTTGCCAGAAAATGCAGAATCTTGAATGAAGGAATGAAGGAAGGGGTCAAGGCGGTGCTATCTCAGCTCACGTGTCAATTACGTACGCGAGCGTTTTTGGTCACAATGTTATATCATCGCAGACAATGAGTTGTTTGAAAATAAGGAAGAAGTTTTGAAAAAAAAAAACTTTTTATTTTGAATAGATAACTTATCAACAACTATTTTATTCGTTGGTCCAATTGATATTATCATTAATTCTCGAATTTCAAGATCTCATATTTTAGACTTGGGTTTAATAAGAAAAATTTTGTTAAACGAAATAATCTTAATGTAGTTATTGTTTCGAGTAAATACTCTTGTGTCAATGCCATAATATATATATATATAGAAAAAAATTTATAATAATACTAGTGTAACTTTTATTAATTATTATATTATTTAATAATTTTATATTAAATATGAATTTTGTATGTAAATCTTGTAAATTTAACTATTAGATTAAATATTTATATTACTTTATATGTTTATATCAAATTTTGTTATAAAGTTAAAAATTAACTTAAAAATAATTAAAGTATTTATATTTTAGTATATTTTAAAATATATATTACATCAATTTTATTCTTATATCAATTAATTATTTTAGATTAATATAAAAATTTGTATATATAGTCTATTTATTCTGTTCAATAATAATTCATGTTTTAAATAAGCTTAATCTTAAAGTAAATATATCTTTTCTTATATATATATATATATAATTCATTTGTTTCTATATACAAACTTCGAAAGACTTTTAAGTTATTTTCTATTAAAAAGAATCGGTGGAAAAATTCTGTAATAGTCAATAAATTTATATCCAAATAGACTTTAAATTAACCTATATGCAAACATTTTTCACTTGTGAGACATTTTGGGAATAAGAAGTTTCACGTGGCTCTTTTGGAGTTGCTGCACGCGTGTGTTCGGACCTTGTTTTCAAACACAATGTAAAATCACAAGATTATGGCTTTGAAAATTTCAATTTTCGAATGTTATTTTCATTTACTCTAGCTCTAGCATTTTCTGTGTTACTTACGTAATGGTTTGATTTACATTAACAATAATTATTTAATTATATTGAGTGTCGTCGTCACTTACACAAATTATAATTTTCCTTCACTGATCTTTCCGAAAAATCTCTATATATACCAAGAGGAGGTTGTGTTGTTTTTGCACAAGACACTAACACATCACATACATTACACACACCATCACCATGTCTCCTTGGCTTATACCCTTTGCTACTATAGTAGTGGCGATCCTTATTTACCACCTTTTGAAGCTGAAAAATGGGCCTTCATTACCTCTGCCACCAGGTCCGAGGCCATGGCCCATTGTGGGAAACTTACCTCACATGGGCCCAGCACCACACCGGAGTCTGACAGCCTTGGCCCAGACTTATGGGCCACTGCTGTATCTCCGGATGGGCAGTACTCCCATGGTGGTAGCGGCCTCTGCCTCGGTGGCAGAGCAGTTTCTGAAGGTCCACGACTTGAATTTCTGCAACCGGCCACTAAACTTCAGGACCACATACTTGACCTATAACAAACAAGACCTTGCTTTTGCACCCTACGGCCCACGGTGGCGGTTGCGGCGGAAAATAAGTAACCTTCACATGCTTTCCGCTAAGGCTGTGGATGACTTCAGTCAACTTCGACAGGTCAGCTTCATTTACATCTTACTAGGGTTGCATGATCCATGCAACCTAACAACCAACTCAAATAAAAATAAAAATAAAAAAATAAAACATCAGTTATTTCAAACAATTTTCATTTTATATTTGCATTTTTAACTGTTGATTTCCTTTAACTTATCTTTGTGTTATTTTAAATTAATTAACCTGGAAAAAGTAGTGATTTTCACAACTTTTTTTTTTTGTTTTCACACGATTTTCACAGTTTTCCTAAATATACATCCATCGTGACACAAAAATTGATTAAACCCCTGTTCATCTTACCAAGAGATTATGTAGCAACCAGGAAAAGAAAGAAGAAAAGTAGAGAATGGAAGCTAGTCATCTTGAAAACCTTTTTAATCTTCTTTGAAGTTTTGAGAGAATATAGGAGAAAAATTATAGAGTTATGTGTGTGTTTGACAGAAAGAAAAAGAAATTGAGTTATGTATTTAAAATTATTTATTTATTATTACAATTATTTAAAAGTATTTATTTATTATTACAATTATTTAAAATTATTTATTTATTATTAAAAGTATACACCTTCTAATTCTTTTTTCTACTAATTAATGTCTCTCTCTTAAGAATGAAATAGGAAAAAATATGTGTATATAAAAAAAAATTGTTCATCTCATTAATATTAAGTACCCGTTAATTTTTTACTGAGACACGGGTGTCTTTCTTCTTGCAAGAAAATATAATTTACGTATTATTTATTATTATAAATCTTTTTATATATGTATGTATTCTTTTATTTATTAAAATTACAATAACAACATCAAAGTTTGAACCTAATATCTTATACATTCTATGTCAAATAAGTGATGCATTGACACTATAAAATAATTTTACATTTTTATCTATTCACAAATCAATATTTATGATGAGTTACGGATTTTTATATAATAAATAAACTATAAGTCATACTAAGGAAGATAAATGCGACTCACTTAAATTTTTATTTATTTTGTTCTAATAAGTATTTGTTGACAAATTTATTTAAATTAATATTTTAATTTGTGTAATACACAAGATAAATATTATTTGTACAATAAATAATTAATTTTACATTATAATTAATATTTATGATAAATATTTTGAAACATATAAAATATATAATAAACAAATTATATTATGAATTATAAGATTATTCTTAATTATTGATAACTAATTTTAAACATAGTTAATTTAGAAAAAAAAAATTGAAAGAGATAAGGGATTAAACTACCAAGTACAAACACTCATGTTAAACAAAAATCTCTAAACTCTACTAGAATTTTTCTTATTACATACGATTTTTTCTGCGAATTTTGTATTAAAATCTATAGCAAACATTATTTTTACGAATTTTTCTACGAAATTTTATCTGCAAGTAATACCTTTGTGATAATATGTTTTTGCGAATTTTAAAATTCACAAGAAATATTCCTGCGAAAAAAATTCGTAAGAAAGTTTCCTGCAAAAAAAATTCGTAGGAAAGTTTCCTGTGAATTTTTTTGCAAGAAATTCTGTAGGAATATTTTTTACGAAAAAAATTAAAGAAAATACTACAAATTCTATCAATAATTCTTCAACTTTCAAATGCTCACAATGAATTCATCTGAAACATTTGTTTCCACGCCTCCAACATGTGATACATAATCTTTTAAACTCTAAGATTGTAGATTATAAGCCTAACACTCAACCATACAAATCAACTTATAAGGTAAGTGTTGCCCCAACTTATATACTCTTTAATTGTTTTATTTTTAATCGATGTGGGACTTGAAGTTTTTTTAAAATATTAAACATATAAATTTAAATATTTTTTTTTATTTTTCCTGCGGATTAAAATTGGTAGGAAAATTCGTAAGAAAAGTTACTTACGAAATTTTTCTACCATTTAGTAAACATTACTTACAAATTTATTTTTGCAAGAAAATCTGCAAGAAAAAAAATAAAATTCTTACAATATTTTCTGCAAATTTTTACAATGAAAAAAATTTCTATGATCATTAAAATTGTAGCAAAATTTGCAAAATCTTGTAGATTATTTTCATTAAAAAAATTGTAAGAAATATCTGTAAATTATTTTTTACAAATAAATTCGTAAATAATTTTTGTGAAATTATTATTGCAAGAAAACTTGCAAAAAAATTTTACAAATATTTTTTTGTAAGAAAATGACACTTTTCTAGTAGTGAAATACATTTTTAGCGGAGAAATATTTATAAAATAATTTTTCTGCAAAATAACTCTTCTAATTATATAGAGAGATGATAGCCTCAATTTCAAAAGAAAAATTATATCTTTTACTTATTTTTTAAATGTTACCCCTTATTTTTTAAGTTTCAAAAATATTGAATTAATACAATATTTTTACGATTAATTTTATTAAGACTTTATTTCATAAATTGTTATAAATTAAAAGTATCAGTTAAGAATATGTTACAATTAGCAATTTTTTTATTAAACAAAAATATGTTTTAGAAAAATATTGTTAATTTTTTTATTATGCTATATATTAGTGAAATTTTTTTCTAAAATACTTAGTTAAGAGGATGTTTAGCACAAGATATTTTTGCGCTTAAAATTTATGATTTCTGGTATATGATATATGATAAGTAAGATAAAACACCAATTTTAAGATTTGACATTTAGCATAATTTAAGTACATAAACCTCGTGTCCTCTAAATTGATAAATATGACGCATCATTATTTTTAAATCCCAAAATCCACCAACTTGTAACATCACCAAATTTTCTCCTTGAATAACCAACTGCATTCTTGCTTATCATCTTTTACAGTTCCTCATGATTTGTGAAGTATGAATATGAGAAAGCAAAAGTAGTAGAGCACAACTAAACTAAAAAGGAGAAAATAATTAATGAGTCCATTTGAGCATAGTTAGTTTTTCAAATGAAAATAACGGAAAAAAAATGTAACTAAAATACATGTATATGCAGGAAGAGGTGAAGAGATTGGTACATAATTTAGCAATAACGTCAAAATCTAAAGCAGTAAAGTTAGGTGAACTATTGAATATATGTACCACCAACACATTAACAAGGGTAATGATAGGACGACGACTTCTCAAGGATGATAATAGTTATGATCCAAGGGCAAATGAGTTTAGATCTATTGTGATAGATCTTCTGATATTGCTTGGAGTTTTCAATATTGGTGACTTTGTTCCTATATTAGATTGGTTGGACCTTCAAGGAGTAAGAGCCACGACAAAAAATTTACATAAGAGGCTTGATTCATTTTTAACTACCATTCTCAAGGAACACAAAGTTTTCAAGAATGAGCAACACCAAAACCTTTTGAGTGTATTGCTATTAGACAAAGAGACTCATCAAGAAGGAGAAGAACTCCTTGAACAAGAGATCAAAGCAATATTTGCGGTATGTACATTATCAAGATACAATAGTTATAAATATCTTATCACCTTATACAATCCTTTGTATTAATTTCATGACACATATGGTGCTTGTACTCCTCACAAATGCAATATCATATAAGAATTTTGTTACATCATATCATATATTAAATTATAGAGTGAATAACTACATATATTGGCTTATTGTTTGCAGGACATATTAATTGCTGGGACAGACACATCATCAAGCACAATAGAGTGGGCAATTGCAGAACTAATTAAGAATCCACAAATCATGCATAGGGTCCAACAAGAGTTGAATATTGTTGTGGGTCAAGACAGGCTTGTGACTGAACTAGACTTACCCAACCTTCCCTATTTACAAGCTATTGTGAAGGAAACATTCCGTTTGCACCCACCTACCCCTCTTT